GACGTGTGTGGTTGACCAGAGATGTAGTTCATTGAGCCTTTCACACAAACAAATGTGTTACTTCACAGTTTTACGACACATTTTAATTTTTTTGACTTGCAAAATTATCTTTTAAATTGACAAACATCATATGTGTAATTCGTGGCACAATTCAAACGGGATCGAAAGATAATCTTTCTCTCTCCATTGACTTCAATGCATAACTTTTCCGAAATAAGGTCCCATGGGGCTCAACCGGAAGGGGAGGGACTTCGCCACTCTATTGTAACTGAACGAGAGAGTAATGTCAAATGACAGTACAATTGACCAATCATATCTTCCCTCTAAATGGGTGGGTTTTATTATCGCGGACTTTATGACGAGTTCCGCCCGCTGTGAAACTTTTCTTGTTTCCATAGCAACAACAACTTCCTGTCAACAGTGTGAACTCGCCTTCAAAATAAAAGCATGCCAAATTACACTTAAGACATACAACTGCAATGAAAGTAACAAACACAATGCAATATCCTTTTCAATGTCAAAAAACACAAATTGGGTTCACAGGTGTTGTTTTGTGTGGTAGAGGGTCGCTGTCATTGATGCGTTTTGCACCCTGGGCCGTTGTTTTGATATTCCGCTGAAGAATATGCTGTGACGTAATAACGTCTTTTTTTCGAAGGAAGGGGTGGGGGTCAGAGGGCCTAGGTATAAAGCTCACGGCTCGCCACTGTTTCTCATACTGCCTGTGCTGCAGCACCTCTTTTCACCCTCTGTCTGAAACCAGACAACCTGCTCTGATTGGTTAGCTGGTCGGCTCTGTTGTGATTATACAACCGCTTAAAGGTGGGGTATGTAATTTATTTCAGATACACTTTTCGTTATATTCCATGGAATGCTCTTAACATCCCAATAGCAATGAATATCTTAAGTGCTTTGACAAAAAATCCATAAAAAAATGTCATCTGTGGAAGCCGTAGTACTGTAAAAAGTACGACCAATCATTTTAGCCAGCCCGGCTAAAATGATTGGATGGCCTACCTGCCGGTCAGCCTTCCATCTGTGCACAAACTTATCTCGTGCCCTCATTGGTCATGTGCGCGTTCGTGTGTGTTGGAGGAGGGGCTCTGTAAGGAAGTGGCAGATTTTTTCCGGTTGTGTATTTTCAAATTCTAGCGTACTTGAGCTGGTTTCTCCAAAATGACATACCCCACCTTTAAAGATGTCCTGCCCCTTAGCCTATCATGACAATGGGTTTGAGCACTAGCCAATAAAAGCACAAGTGTTAAATAGTGATGTCACTATGTTGCGGTAGAGAAACTCCCGGTGACAAAAACCTATATAACACACTACAGGAAAAGGGAAAACTCCAAATGCATAATAGGCCCCTTTAATCTAGAATGTGTTGGATTTTAATAGATAATGATTAAACTACTCCCAAGCATTTCTTGTTAAAATATTTTTGGAAGAAATCTTCCTACTAGTAAGATTCAAAATAACTTGGTTCCACAGTGTTACGTATTTAAACTGTTATCAGTACTCCATTTCAGCCGTCCAAATCCAACTCCAAGGTGACAAAACCGACATGTCCCTTAAGCGTGTGAAGCCAGATTTGGCTGACTTTCTGACGTGTGGGGCGGTCAGAAAATGAAACTCATCTGTTTCACTAGCCTAGCTCAGCCTAGCCCTGTCTCATCTCAACCTAACTGTGACAACAAAGCTAATTACCGAACTTCCGATCGCACAGAGCTGACAGTCTTGTTAGCCTCCCATTTCCACTTTTAATTCAATCAAGCGTATCTGCATCATCTGGATCATACTAAGTATATTTGGCTGCTTACAAGAGCCAAGATCCAGGGTAATACAGTTTGATTAAGGATGAGTTTAACATGAGCAATCCATACCGTGTGACACACCTTGACAGATAGCATTCTCACCTTATATTATACATGTTGTGTCCAATGTTACATGCATCTATACTAACCTGTGTTTTTTATCATCGAGTTAAGACAGTAAAGTGGTTTTATGTGTTCATGGGGCTAAGATGACAATAGGACAAGGCGGCTGAGATGTCTGCCCACACAATGCACTTAATTCCTTGATCCTGCCATAATCTTGACCTTCACTTTACAAGACGGCATCAGTGTAATAATAACTGAGACACGCTCCTCTTCTCCCTACACCCCCTTCTGTATCTACTCGTAAAGCCTTGCCCAGAGTAAGTCCAATCATTGTACCATGAATAATCTCTTCACATCTCTGCTTTGAATTTAAATCTATACGTTTCAGCTCATCCTGACCGTGAATGTTGGGGGGGGATCAAAACTTTTGCCCTCCAGTTAAAGCCGTTCTTGATTCCTGCTGGAAAAGCCTGATCACGCTCACGTGCACCAGCAATGTTACAAAAGGATTTTCGGAGAACATGCTTATTGGCTTTCTTGCCAATAGATAGTTAGTTAGAGATTAGATTAATAGAGTTAATTAGCATTCAGACGCTAATGTGTTTATGGTAAATGTGTAGCCAGCAGCTAGTTAGCTTGGCACAAATTGCAAAAAACAAGCATGTACATGGTCCGGGTCTAATTCAAACTATGTGATATGAATGCGAGACCATATGGGTTTCAGAGAAAGTGCTATGTTGAAGCAGAAGCCTTAGAGCAGGCAGATTTTTGGCAGCCTCCACCTAATGTTTGCATAGTAGGGAGCGTGGCACGGGTAAACAGCCACTAAACACATCCTCAGCCCTTGTAATTTTAAGATAATGGCTTTGACATTTCAATGTCGAACCCACTGCGAGCCACAGCAAGCAGGCCTCCTGAAAAGCAGGGCACGATGGTGGGAACCGGGATGCTACTGAATGTTTTATCTCTCATCCCATTACTCCTTCTGTTCCAGGAGAGGAAAGGGGACATTCAGCATTTATGTATACATCTGGTTCTGGTACATTTAGCTTAAAAATGATGCATGCTATATGTCACTGGGTTGTAGAAGAGATGGAAGATGACTTGGTTGGGAAAAGGCCAGCACACTAAACTCATTTAACTGTAGCTTTAAAAATCATAGAAAGCAAAAGAACTCTTCTTAAACTACGATACCCTTAATGATAATAATGAATATACAAATGACTTAAAACCTCTGGCTTTAAACATGGTTTAAGGAAGTTAAAATTGCATTTCGAAAAGTACACAAAATGTCCAAAACTATGCCTTCAGGTTGATTTGAATAAACAACAAAAAGAGGGACAGATCATGAATGTGCTGCTGCAATCCCTCTGCTAAGAAGCAACTTGGGCTATAAAAGCACATTTATTTTCCCAAATAAATTGCAGGCAAGCGTCAGGCACATCACTTTGCCTGCATTAGAAGGTAATGCCCCATGACAGGCTGTAATTACCCACAGACGAGTCTCAGCTGGAGAGAAGGAGTGGGGGGGAAGAGAAAGGCAGCAGAGAATTGGTGTGTGCGGCTCTATCTATGCATGTATCCGAGTTGATGTGTGTGTGAGTGTGTGCGGCGGGCTCTGACTCAGCACATCCTCACGGGCCTCAGAGGCGGCTGAGTCTTTTATTACCTAATCCAGTTTAGTAGATGAATCCGTCCCATAATCTAATATTCCCGCCATATACACGAATCCCTGATTTTAGTCCGCAGCGTGCAGGCTATGCAGAAAAGAAAAGACGTGACGGAGAGGGCATGTCCTTTTTTATGGGCGGGCCCACAAAACCGGCACAAATGAAATACCATTTCAACAGCATGGCCAACAGCATTGCGTAAAGACGCACGCCGCTCCAAATTACGCATAAATAAACAGCAACATACAAGCAACCAAGTATTGTGTGCGTGGCGGCACAAACACCAGTAAATCACACCAAAGAACTTTGCTTGGGCCCTACACTTGGCCAATACAGCAGCAAATAAATGTACGCATTACACAGCGACACCACATAGGAAGGTTTCATTAATATGGAAATAGTCTACTCACTGTTTGATGTTAATAATATCCCGCTGTCCAATTTGTGTGTAAAACAGAAAAGGCAGGCTTCAGAATCCAAATTTAGAAGAACTCCAGAATAGGCTGCAGTGTTACGCACACAAACTTGCTTTTGTACAGTGTTCTAAATAGCGATTGGTCCAAATGTGGGCTAATTACAAGTAGCCTGTCCCTACCTGGCCCTCCCACAACACCGGGACTGCTAATTGCCACTCATCTAATATAGCTCAAACAAGCCATATGGTGTTAATATTTGGGTCATTCCAATATTGGAGGACTGTTTCTGTCCCACTGATGACATTTCAAATAATCCGTTCCAAAAAAATGCTAATATACAGATAAAATGTTGCTAATATACAGTTAAAATGTTTATGTATTTCAGCATAATCTACATGTTTATATGTATTACTGTGTTTTCCCAGAATATGAATTTACTTTTTTTAAGGTAACCTAAGCATATCAAGGTTGCAACAATTACACATAAATTATGTTTAAATTATAGTTAAATCAAGAGGTTAATATAGTGAAAGGTTACTCATATTCCACTGCTTTTCTCGTTACGTGTTATGGTTGAAAGATTTCTTTAAATGTCATCTTTCATCTTTCCAAAACTCTTCCAAATCCTTGCTTTGTGCCAAACAGTGCCTTTCAGATAACGAACCAGGCATGCTTCCTGCAACCAGTAAAATACCCAGCAGCCCCTCGGACACATGTCCAGCCCGGCACCGGGACTAACTGGGGTGAAAGCTCAGAGAACAAATCCCCCTTCAGAGATACTGTGACATCCATCGTTTCATTTTCCCTGTACACTCTCATTTCTCTTCAGCTCACACTCCTAATATTTGCCAGGCACTGCTAGCACAGAGCGGAGTTTGTGTTTGTTCAGTGTCTTAAAACCAGCCATGATAAATGAGCCTGGCTGATTGTCTTTCTCCTTTTTATACTTGGTTTTTATTCTATTACATCCATGTAATCTATCTCCTATGTATCATTTTATTCCTTCCATACATTTGTCACACAACAACAGCACACAGCAAAGTTTACTCCGTTTATTTTCCCATTTTTATTTTGACATTGTCAGGTATAACTCAAGCGAGGCACAAGGGGAAGTAACGTGTGGAAAAGGCAACTTGACCTCAGAGAAACACAAACTTTAAGGCAGCAAGAGTTTAAGGTTTTTCACAGCGTAGAAAGGACAATAGCTAGAAATATTAGTAGTGCGTGTTTGTACAGCAAGTAACTTGAATTCATTTGTTTAAATAAACCGGACAACACCCCATACAGGGTCAGTGTATCTAGGTATTATATAAAGTATCATAGCCGATGCATCTGTCGCTTTTGCAATTCAGGAATAAATGCATTTCTGGAATATTTGAAAGCAGCTTGCAAAATGGCTTGAAAATTTAACTAGCAGCCACTTTAATACATGTATCTGGTGGGTGGTGCTAATTGTGTACCCTGTGTGAAAGTGAAGATTGGCAGGTTGGCCTTGTGGTTCGATCTTGCCGTAACCAGAGTTCAGCCGCACAGTTTTTGATCTATCCAGCTGAAAGGCTTTAAGACACCGAGACCCTCCCTCCCTGCTCACACAGTTTAAGTTAAGATTGTGAGCTCCATATATAAAAGGTGAAGGAATATATACATACATTTAAACATTACATGGCATTAACGATGATCCCAACCCATCTCCTGTGCGTTTTCAAGGCACTAAATACAAAAAAAGGCAACCAGTAACTTTTCCAAAGCAATAGTAAGGCATTAATGGCAGAAACAACTTTCAAAAGCATGATATCCAAAAAATATAAACCTTTAACAAAAACACCCAATTTGGTCTTTTACCAAATACCATATATTAAGAAACCATAGTAATGCGCTTCACTTGATTTTATCCACTGTAATTGTGACATATCTTACCAAAAAAATGACATTACAGCAATCAAGCATGATACATAATATCTCCTGTTATATACTATAAAAGGAGATTATTTTGTTTATATACACCTCGTACCCAGCTGTCAAAATGTAAATGTCACTTTCCTTCATTATTAAGAGTGCACCAGTTTGATGCCCTGCCCAGTGTCCAGAACAGCTGGAGGGAACCAGGCTAGTTTACACCTCCTGAAGCAGCGCAGACACACGCTACACAACCAGAACAGGTTCAGGCCACAGCACCAGTTGGAGAGGTGCACCATGGGATATGTAACCTTGGGAAAGTGCGTCTTCCAATGCTTGGCCACGTCACTTCCTGTGGGAAGGTGAAGCGTGTAGTCGCTCCAGCGTTTGGACACGCCGTACGCCGCCATCACGGTCCTCCCCTTGTCCGACCACTGGGTGTCGCTGTCTGGGTTGCAGTTGAACTCCACCCACTCGGAGGTGAAGTCTCCCAGGATGGGGATGTCTCCACCCTCGGGGTCCACCCTGGTGACGGCCAGCTCGGCACCTTGTGCGGCCACGTAGACGCCCTCCATCCTGCGTATCTCCTTCACCCAGGGGAGGGAGTTCTCAGTGTCCAAGACGATGATGAGGCGGGAGCAGTGGCCGGCGTTCTTCTCCTTCCACAACTCCAGCAGCTGGCCCAGGTGGAAGCTCTCAACTCCTGCAGGAGAGGAGGTTAGAGAGTGAGATGGAGAGGAGGTTAGAGAGTGAGATGGAGAGGCAAGAAACACCCAGAAGCATAGAAGGAGGAAATGTAGGATGCAAAGACAGTGGAAGGAATCATAAATACTTCTTTAAAGTACATAGCCCTATATTTTTTATATTAAAAAGGGCTTTTTCAAATGACATATCTTGTGGCATGTATCAGGTTCATTTGCATTTCTGTGTTATATGTTTTCCAAAGCTAAAAGTAAGGCTTCATGATTTGGAAAAAATAACTTATTGATATTGGAATTGCGATGTTTTTGCAATATTATTGTTTTTGAAGTTTTCTCTTTCCTGTAGTGTGTTATAAAGGTTTTTGTGCATGAATGGTCTGCAAAGGCTAAAATCCCCCCCCCCCGAAACACCTCATAGGTAGGTTTGCAAGTTGAACAAACTCCGAACCAAAAGTACTTGATCTTGACTCAATTTAGTTGAAAAAGGGGGAAACAGAAATATACAGGTGGCTATACAGTTGAGTCACTTTTGGTTGAGTGTCCTGTTCAAGGACATTTCTACAGGACACAGTGGCCTAGCAGGGATCAAACCTGTCAGCTGTCACCTGCAGGGGTGTCTATATGTCTGTCTAACTGCTGTCATCTCAACCACACAGACTGCACAGACATCCACCTGGCAGATCTAAAGTACAAAGATCAGAGCCGAGGCACCAAATGATTTCCTTTTCACCTCAAATAATCATTTAGTAAATAAGAGCAGAGGGAAAAAATCATTCCTACTGCAAGCCACAATACTTGGATATGGAATTGGGCTCCTTTCACTTGCCTAAAAATCACCAACAAGCTGATTTAGACACACGGTTGTTGCAGTACTAAAACGGGCATGTATTATATTGAAAAACACAATAAGACAAACTACCTCTTTTTCTAATCACTGCATGATTTAGGACTAGACTCTTCCACACTAAGTCTTTATAACTGTAGTGGACATATGACTTTATGACTGTTGGCAATTTTAATTCAGGTCAAAACTAGCCCACTTTTCAAAATGTGTAAATGGAAAACATCCCTTCATGGTGACACAGTAATCTTCCTTGTTTGCAGCGGCACGCAGAGATAATGCGTTAAGTAATTTCTGAACCGAGGCGCTGGAGCTGACACGGTGTTAACCTGCTGTGATTCTCATTTCTATTGAAGGCACGCTCGTGTCACAGCAGAGCGTCTGAAACTCTCACAGAATCCACCTTACAGCAACTTAACTTCTGAGGCAAGTCCTTCAAAGTAACTCTTTTGGCTTACTTTGTCTGATCTGTGCAAATCAGACTCTGATTGAAGGGGAGCAGAGGAAATGGAAATCAGACTGTAATGACAATTCAGTTTGGAGGGAGAAAACAATATCCACCTAATGCTACCCGACAGCAGGAGAAGCTGTAAATACAGCTTTTGTGTTTTCTTTTTGTCGTGTTCAACTCCGAGTCAAGTCTTCAGTAATTTTCAATTCTTATTTATGTGGAGAGATAAAACTGATATCCAAGTCACTGTCAATCGTAATGATTGACAGTGGCACATTTTAATTTTAGGCAACTGAGTGACTCCTGTGGGACGCTTTCATAGATGAACCTGCTGAAAAATAACGCAACAGCTGTTAGTCATCTGAATGGGTTTTTTTAAAATGGTTATATAATACTTTTCACTAAACAAAAGTAGAATTGTTGCAATGATTTTATTCTATTGACTATATTTATTGCATTTTTATGTATTATACATTCTATCTTGACAATTTATATATATTTGTTGACATTGTCATTCATGTTTGTTGATCTGTAAAGACTTCTGATACAAATGTGTTTTGGGATTTTCGGCTATGTAAATAAAATTGTAATCAAATGTCTTGAACTGTCAATGTTTAAGGCAGTTTATGAGATGTAGTTTGGAACACTAGAACATGCCAACATCTTTTGGATGGCGGGTGTTTATAAACTCATGAAACCTGTGGCTGTACGCGCTCTAATCTAATACACATTCAAAGGAAATGTTCTGCTCATTTTAAAGTTTCGATTTGTATGTAGTGCCTCTACTGTGACATGTCTCCATGCTTTAATGTTCAAAAAGCTCTTTATTTGTCTCATACTGCCTGTGCTGGAGCACCTCTTTTCACCCTCTGTCTGAAACCAGAGCCCAGTTTGCTCTGATTGGTTAACTGGCCGGCTCTGTTGTGAATAGTAAACTGCTTGGAGATGTCCCGCCCCTTAGCCTATCACTTACATTGTGTTGGAGCGCTAGCCAATAGAAGCGTGAGTTATGTTCAGGAAGTAAACAGCAGGATTTTAAATATTGCTTTTTATACATCCACAGAAATAAATGAATAAAAGAGGGGCTTTAACTGTTAAGACAAGTATTTTCCCATTGATCAAATTAAGTGTCTCTTACCAGCCAGAGCCCAAGACCCAGTGCCTTTGTGCGTGTGCCCACTGTAGAAAATCAGATAGGTGTCATGGCGGGGTCCGTCTTCCGTCCGGAGCTCCAGGAAGCTGCGCAGCTTGGTCAGCACGGCCTCCAGCGTGACCCCGCTGGTGGAGTAGTCACAACCGAACGTCTGGATCATGTGGTGGGAGAAGAGGCGCTGCACGTTGTTCAGCATCCCCGTGGAGCGCATGTTGAGCTGCTGCACCTGCTCAGGGGGCAGGAGGGTGGGCTGCCCATCAGCGCTGGAGGGAGATGAGAGAAAACATTTGGATTTTATTCGGCTTTTTCATCTACTGAGACTCAAGTGAGGTGGCTTTTGAGGAGCAGAGAGAAGGGGCGCAAGTATGAGAGTATGAGGTGGATCACTGCAAAAGGAAATAGCTTGAGGTGTAAAAGAAAATAATCCAAATAATGAAAGAAAATCAAGAATATGGAAAAAAAGAGGGGCACAATTGAGCAGGGTGACATGAATTAAGGTTAAATATGGTGTAAAGGAAAGTGTGTGTGACAGGTAATAACAAGGGGATGATAACATAGAGGGGGCACACACACAAAGTCAAGGCTAGCAGCTGCTCAGTGCGGCCATACATTTCATTTCTATCTCCGGACTTGATGTTAGTCATGGCCAAACGGATGGTAATGCCATATTTCACTCTCATAGACATCTACATAACGTATCGCATCACATTATGCTCTGTGACCCCATAATCACCTTCAACCTCACCTTCAGGAGTAAAATCTAGCTTTCCGTTGAGTATCCTTTTGGAAACATTGCATTTTTCTTCATATATTAAAGTAAAGATGTGAATACTTCTGTTAATGACCACTGAAAAATATCTACTCCGGGTCATGTTGCAACCTTTGCATGGCTTCTAAAGCTCCCCGCTCCCCTAAATCCATCTTATCTGTTCAGATCTCACGGCGCCCCAGGGAGGGAAGGCGAATAGTTTGAGAATTCTGACCACATCTTCCCCGTTACACTTTCTCTTTCATCCTTTAAAAAAAAAATTAATCCTGTCCTTTTCTCCACTGCTCTCCCTGCTCCACCCCTCCCTTGCCGCGTCTGTACCTTTTTTATTTTTTTCCCACCACCCTTACTGTTTACAACCTCAGCCCTGGCCTTGTGCTTTCTCCCCGTCGTCTCACCCTCCCCGTTTTACCCCGAGCATCTCCCCTTCTCACCCCTATCCCTCTAATCTCCCTGTGGGGCTCTTGTCATCGTGAAAACATGATCTGCGGCCATCAAACGGCCCATTATACACTGCTGCATTCTCATCATGCTCACACTCCTCCCTATGGACCGTGCACACTCGGCCTCGCATACAGAGCGTCTACAGCTCCAATAGAATGTGGGCCGGCATCCAAAATCACCTGGAGAGTTAAACATTAAGGAAGGCATCCCCCCTGAATGCTGAAAGTGAGTGATTATATATATATATATATGTATGTACCAGTCGAAAATCATGGAATGGACAGATTTCAAGACATGTGAGGGGCTAACGAAGACAGTCGTATGGTTAGGATTAGGAGACATATCCGCATCATCAAAACAACGTGGGCTATTTGTATGTTAACGGTGGAAAATCTGTAAACCTTAACGTGTAAAAAAATGTACGCAAATTCATTACATTAACAAGTTTAACCCTAACTTCCTCCTATAATTCCAGCGCCAATTGTAACAATGGCCGACAGGTGTTTCAGATATTATTTCAGCTCTACTGTAAAGTAGCTAGCTAACGTATAGCAAAGCTAGTCATTTCAAATATACTGACAAAACACTTAATGAAACATTAGGAAACAGTCTTTAAAACAAGTTGGCATTGAAAAGGTAGAGATAGCATAGGAATTAGCACAAGCTACAATGTACAGTACTGTATTGCTGCTTTGTCGAAGTTTTAGCAAAGTATAGGAACCTATGCCAAAAACAGATATCATGTTATAATAAAGTAAAAAACCCTCTGATTTCTCATACCAGTTGATCATGCATTAATGATGATTAATCACAGAATATTACTGCGATTAACTCGATTACATATTTCGATCGATTGATACCACTACAAATCGCCTGGCAGCCTGAGAGGGCACGGTTACACGCAGCAGCAGCAGCAGCTAATGGCTAACTGCTCCAGCTGAACAACTTTGTATGCTGCGGAGGGAGCACTGCAATGATCCCTTAAGGGCCCGAACATTAGCGGCATGTTTATGCATAGTTATTGGCCTATTTATCCAGTTGGTTTTGTGTTAACCGAGGAGGGAGTTGGAATGAGTGATCATATTTAGCAGCGCCTGTGATGCCAAGAAAGGCTTCGTTGTGGGGCAAAGTGTGTGTGCTTTGTTGATGTTGTGTACATGTGTTTTGCTGCTGCAGAGTCTGTGTTGTGATTAGCTGAGCTGCAGCAACAGGGCATACAGTTGAGATACAGACCTAACACAAATGTGAAGCATTCAAGTACACCTGATACAATTGGTTATTTAGTCATTTGACTGAAAAATTAATGAATGAATTTATACGTTGATTGTCAGAAAATTATTTTGATCCAGTAAAAGCAATATATTTATTCGCATCATCTGTATAAATATGTGTTGTCTTGTTTATGAAGATCTATTTTGTCTGATGTAATAGTTACCTGTATTTTTCGGGTGTTTTGGACTTGAAGTATTTACATTTCCAAAAGGTTTTTTCCACATTTTATTTAATTTTTTAAGACAAAAATGTATCTTACAAAATTATAAATAAACAGCGGATTACTTTACAATTACAATCATTGTTTGTTACAGCCTTAATCTACCGAAAATAACTTAAAACATGTTTTATAATTGAACGTTTATTTCATTTATCTAGCAAAAATGTCAAAACAAATTTGACTTTTATAATGATTTTTCTTCTTGTATTGTCATTGGTTTTAATGTTTTTCAGCTTTTTGGTTGGAATTTTTGCCTTTTTGTATAAAGTTAAGAGATAATGGATTGCATTTAACAAGCAAATTTGATAAGTAAATTAAGTTTTAAGTGTATAAGTCTGCTGACTTCTATATAATCCTGTGTCTCCTCTCTCTTATTACCTGCAGTAGGCAGTCGGTATGACCAGAGCGTAGCCAACACAGGTTCCCCCTAGGCAGCTGCCCAGCTCGTGGAACAAGCCGTGGGTCAGAGACTCCAGAGGAAGCACCACCAGCAGAGCGCTGAGGAACAGGCCGTTGGAAGTCTGCAAAAAGGCGAAAAACAGAATCAGAGTTACTGTCATTCATCACTTACAGTTTGTACCCAAGCATTCAGACCCAGCTAATTGGCAGTGACACTTTTGCAAGACAGTTATGCAATACGGGAATGACAGTGTTATTATTGTGGGAGAAAACATGATGGGAATGGAGAGACAATGCAGTTTATGACCACAGATCAAAAGTAAAACACAAGGATCCATTTAAAAAAAAAAAAAAGTCAGTTTATTAGCCTGCACTTTCTGGGTTGCTATGAATAAACAATACCAATTATTTCATCTTGTCATCTTCTTTTAAGTTTATTTTCACTAGATTTTAATGCTTAAAAATCAACTAGCCATACAAAACACAGCACAATTCCTGCACATATACAAACTGCATATTACCATGTAGAAAAGTAAAGCAGGTCTTGTACAATAAAACACTGTCTGGCTTTAACCGCAATCAATTCCTTGAGTCACTCAGTGTGATGGTATGCATTGCAATTTAGAATCCTCAAAAAGCTACTCTGATTTAATAGCATGGCGATATATCTTAGAGAGTAAAAAGAACAAATCAATACCTGCATGGTTAAGTGGAGCCACACATGAGTTTGCAGAATATATTGAACTGCCTACAGTACGCCCCGCCCGGGGTGAAGAATGTGTTTTACAGTCATTTATTCAACTTTTATGAAGTTGTGTCCCCTTAGATGTTCTCCTGCAAACAGATGCAGTATAGTAAGCAGAGAAAGCTCAAAAAGGAGGAACTAACAATATGATGCAAACAGGAAGTGATAGAGAATTGGTTTGCAGTAGTAGATCCTATCTGGTTCACTCACTACAGCAGTTGATGGACTGCTTAACAAAGATAAAATCCTGGCTGAGCAAAAACTTTCTCAACCTAAACGAGAGCAAGACTGAGGTCATCTTTTTTGGACCCCAACCTCCAGCCTCTCCGGTTGATATTCTGGGCTCTCTAAAAAAAAAACATCCTCCCCTCGGTCATAGAATAGAATTGAGAGGGATGAAACCCTCTTTAATGGTCACACATGCAGAGCACACAGCACACACACAGTGAAATTTGTTCTCTGCTTTTAACCCATCCTAGTACCAGGAGTCTAGTACTAGGAGCAGTGGGCAGCTATTGTACAGCGCCCGGGGAGCAATGGGAGTGAGGGGGGGAAGGGGGATGTCCGGTGCCTTGCTCAAGGGCACCACGGCAGGGCAGGAGGTGAACTGGGACCTCTCCAAGTAGAAGTCCACACTCCATATTTTTTAGGTCTGGTCGGGGACTTGAACCGGCGACCCTACGGCTCACAGTCCAAGCCCCTACTGACTGACACCGACTGTCATGAACCTTGGAGTGACCTTCACTAGCACTTTTAAATTCGACAAGCAGGTCAGCACCGTAGTCAAATCCTGCTTTTTTAAAATAAGACTATTGGCCAAAACCAAGTCGTATTTATCTTTTAATGACTTAGAAAGGGTTATTAACGCCTTTGTAACCTTGAGACTGGACTATTGTAATGCTCTGTATGTGGGTATGGACCAGGCCTCAATTAAACGCCTGCAGCTAGTCCAAAACGCAGCTGCACGTTTGCTGACTGGCCACAAAAAGCGTGACCACATCACCCCTATTCTGGCCTCACTACACTGGCTTCCAGTTCGGTTCAGAATTGATTTTAAAATCCTTTTATTTGTTTTTAAAGCACTAAATGGGCTGGCTCCGGCCTATATAGCTGAACTCCTCCAGCGCTACACCCCAGCCAGAGCTTTAAGGTCTGCTGACCAGCTGTTGCTGATAGTGCCCAAGACCAGGCTTAAAACCCGAGGGCTCCGAGCCTTCGCAGCAGCTGGCCCTAGGCTCTGGAACACTCTGCCCCTCCATGTGAGGTCGGCCCAGACCCTAGGGGTTTTTAAATCTACACTAAAAACACACTTCTTCTCTTTGGCCTTCTAGTTAGAGCGGAGCACGACTCCTGACTTTTCCTTATGTTTTTTTTTATTTTGTTTTTTATATAGATCTGTTGTAATTTATTGTCGTTTATTGTGATTGTAGTAATATGTTTTTATTACATGTACAGCACTTTGGCTCGACCAAAAATCGCTTTTAAATGTGCTATATAAATAAAACTTGATTTGATTTGATTTGATCCTATGAGAGTAGATGAGTGGATTCCTAAATCATTGCAAAAAGGCTCTCTTCTGCATTTAGCCGATCATCACTTGTAAATGCATTTTAGCCTTTGCAGACCATTGACATGCACACAAACCTACATAACACACCAGAGAAGAGGGGATACCCAGCTATAAGGTGTTTTTAATATTATCCAGACGCAGCTCTCTGAGCTTAAGCTTATTTTAAATGTTGATAAAACTAAGGTAATGCTTTTTTCAAAAACCAAAAAAACACCAGAGACCACTTTGGATATTGTTACTACCCAAGGACAGGTACTTGAAGTGGTTACCTGCTATAAATACCTTGGTATCTGGCTTGATGATTGCCTCTCTTTTAAACTTCAGGTCAATAATCTGCTTAAAAAGCTGAGGGTTAGGCTAGGTTTCTTTTTCAGAAAGAAGTCCTGTTTCTCACTTGAGGCCAGGAAAAGGCTAGTCTCTGTGACCTTTTTACCTGTGCTGGACTATGGTGATCTGATCTATATGAATGCACCTGCCCATTACCTGATCAAGTTAGATGCTGCCTATCACAGTGCGCTGAGATTTGTGACAAACTGTAAAGTATTAACTCATCACTGTACCCTGTATGCCAGGGCAGGTTTGCCTTCACTAACTGTACGGAGGCTCAGTCATTGGTACATTTTCATATACAAAGCCATGTTGGATAAACTACCATCTTACATCTGCTCCCTGATCTCTGAAAGTAGCTATTGCCTGAGATCGCATGCTGTGGTTTTATTAAATGTGCCAAGTGCTAGGACTGTCTTAGGGAAGAAAGCTTTTAGATGCGCAGCTCCACTGTCCTGGAATAGTCTGCAAAAGGAATGGAAACTGAGCAATTTGGTGCCACTAAATGTTTTTAAAGCTCGGTTGGATGCTATACAATCGGATGCTGTTGGTACCTGTACATGTCGATAGGTATGTAAATTGTAATCCCTGTAACTTTGCTGTATGATGTCCTTTTTGTTGTTGTTCTGTTTTTATGTCTTCATGTGGAACCTACTTGCAGCAAGTCTCCCTTGAAAAAGAGATCTCAATGGGATTCACCTGCATAAATAAAGGTTTGAAATGAAATGAAAATAATAGGGCCCCTTTAATAAAAATGTTCAGTGCACTTTGTAATACAATTTGGTTCACCGCCTTTTTCGATTTCAGCAATTCATTTTGAGTGCGCCAAACAAAGCCTGACCTCAGCCTCTAAGCAACTTTTGTTTTGTTTCCTGAAGTCGCCACATATACAATGTCAATCGTAATGTTTATATAATAATAATTATGTAAGGCAAATCTGTTTTTAGGTGGGTATTCTATTTCAAACTGAATTGAATGCAGCAAAACCAATGTACCACACCACACATTAGCATAGAGATGAATCAACACCTCTTTGAATGTAGTTTTAGCAGGCTCTATTTATTGTTGAGACAGTATTAGATTTTACCCACATTGCTTTTACTTGTGTTTATTTTAACATCAAAGGCAAAATAAATCTGTAAAATCACACAAAACAAAACACTACTTTTCTCATTTGCGAGGGAAGACAGCATTTGCAGACACATTTGCAACTGACATCAACAATGTGCACTTCTCAAATTAGGAGTCAGGCCCATGAGACTCCTCCAAGGTAAACGTCTAATAAGGCTAAATAAGTTATTGCTGCTCTTTATGCAAGTAGATAGGGATATTAAAGTGCTAATTAAATTGGCTGCGCATGATAGCAGAAGTGCCTCTGCTCAGGGAGCAACTACAGACTACAAACTGCCAGTAGCATCCTCCTCGAGAGTTTATAAAAATGGGTGTGTGAAATGTTTAAAGGGGCCTTGTCATTGAACTCTATGTTTTATAGCTGTAAGAAGGAACATTAGAGTAGGACACTCGCCATGATCAATGAGATTTTAATAAAATTCTGATTTGCACCATAGAGGTTTCTGGGCTTCTAATAAGCACTATGCTTGAGTAAGACACACATATTTGAAATATTTTTGGACTGTTTATTTCTTGTGTCTTAATTTCTCTTATGTACATTGCCTTGTGTTTTTTATGCTGCTGCAACGCAAACATTTCCCAATTTGGGATTCAATAAAGTACCTATCTATCTATCTATCCATCCATCTATCTATCTATCTGTCTATCTATCTATCTATCTATCTATTTGTATCTTTAGATGCTTTGAGGTAGTTTGTGGTTCCTACCTGCCAGGACACAGCTCCCAGTATGATTGTTGACAGAATACTGAAGAACACCAGCCGCTCTGAAATGAGGCAGAAGTGTCGGATGCCCCTGGAGGCCATGACTTGGTCGAGGCTCCGGCTACTGGATCGCTGCGCCCGCCAGGCCTTCTGACACTCGCTCAGCTTGGTGTGGAAGCCCCATAGTGTCATCAGCAATATTATGTGGCAGATGAACCAGAAAAGGCCAAAGAGGCAGAACCCAGGGATCACCAAATACCAGAGCTCCAAGTGGCCAAGCTATGCAAGCCAAGAGAAAAATGTCATTAAACACAGCCTTGCAATTTGTTACAAAAAAAGTGTCACCATTCAGGAAAACAGCTACATAAGTACGGTGGCTGAGAAGGGCAAACGAGAATTACAAAGTGTGAAACACTTTAACAAAGCTTGAGACAAATTTACATTTTATAAAACAAAATGACATTAGCAAAACACTTTTACCAAGGACAAAACAATATAACATTAACAATACAAAATTAACAAGATGCGAAACACTTTTACGAGAACTGAGACAAATGTACAAGTCCCAAAACACTTTTACAAACTAGAGAATCAAACCGGAAAGGAAGTGACATGACGTGATTGACTCAAACTTAAGTTTGTTTTGGTGGAAAGATCGACAGTACCTAAGCTGCTCATTTTTGTTTTATAAAATGTAATTTTGTTTTATAAAATGTAAACTTGTCTCTAGCTTTGTAAAAGTGTTTCGCATCTTGTTAATGTTAAATAGTTTTTTCCTTAGTAAAAGTGTTTTGCTAATTAATTTTGTTTTATAAAATGTAAATTTGTCTCCAGCTCTGTTAAAGTGTTTCAAACTTTGTAATTCTCGTTTGCCCTTCCCAGCCACCGTACATAAGGGTTACAATTGTAAGAAAAGATTCAGTGTGAGAAGCCCTTAAGACTCACATCATTGAAATGTCATTTCAATTCTGAGTGTACCTTTAGGGCAGCCAGGACGAAGAAGGCCAACTCAGTCACACTGAGAGGCAGCAGGGACAGCCTCCTCCAGACCCTCCCCAGGGAGAGCACCGGTCTCCAGCGGTCACTGGGCCCCAGCCCGCTGAAGTACACGTCCAGCACGGGCTCACACAGCTGCCTGCCCAGGTAGCAGCCTAGAGCGTAAGGGTTGGCAGTGATGTCTAAAGCTTTGAAAAACACCAGAGACGTAACCAAGGCAAAACTGACCAGGTTAGGCAAAGCCAGGAGAGATTTCATCCTCAGGTCCACAATGAGAGCCCCCAGGGCCACCACCATGCCTATTATAGCCACTGACTTATGTAGAAGCATAGCAGTGCTGGCAATGCCAAATCCCAGGAGCTCCAGGAACTCACTTGATGTAAGCAAAGTGGGTTTGTACCGGATAGAGCTGCATATCCTCTCAGTTAAAGCCCATATCGTCTTCATGGTTACACTGGCTAAAAGGAGATAGTTGGCGACCAGTTCCTTGACATTTGAATCCAAGGCGGTGCTGTTGAAGAAACACAGAAGGCCGAGCAAAAAGCCAAACCACAAATGGAACAAGCTGAGACTGGCTTTCTCCATGGCAAAGTAGTAATGGAGGATGCTGGCTATCCCCAGGACGACGAGGCCCAGGATGAAGATGACCATGATCATCGCTTCTTCTGTCACCTCCCAGCGGACGTACATGCCAACGCACACCGCCACCAGGAGGGTGAAGCTGGACAGGTAACCCAGGCAACGCACCGATGTAAACATGTCCACCTCCTTGGGTGCATCGACCGTCAGCTCCTCTTCGTCTTCGTCACGAGCCATGTTGGCTAATTTAAAAAAAAAACGTAACTTAAAAATCTGTCAATTCCTAACAGTCACCTTCTCTAGACATGCACGGGTGTGCAAGGCTAGAGAAAAAGTCTAGCCTCTTGATGACATCTTTCAAAATCAGCCCCTGTGAACAAATCCAAAAGCAGTGTTACTTCATAAGTATCAAATAGACAAGCCATCCAAACTTACAGTATATACGTCACATTTGTTGGTGACTCGTGTCGAGATGAATTACTAAAAAAGCTCATTCCTCTTCTATAGTCAACTCGTAAATCTTAAAAACGTAATAGGAGGATATAAAACTTATAGTGTGATTAGCTAGAGTTTATAATACAACTACAAATAGTACAAGGCATTTATAAATAAAAATATGGTTAGCAGCAAACAGTTGAGATAAGTTATTTTATTTGTAGTGGTGTGAAGTAAATAAGTACATTTACTCAAGTACTGCACTTGCAAAGTAACTAAAGGTAATAAATAAATGCATTTGAGATCAAGATTACCCTCTGAATTGTAGTGGAGTAGAAGTACAACATAGCAGAAAAAGTTAAAACTCAAGTACTGTACTTACTGTAAGTACAATTTGGAGGTACTTGTACTTGTTTGCTACCTTATACTTCTACTCCACTACATTTTAAAGGGAAATCATGTAATTGTACATAGTGGGGTAGAAGTACAAAGCAGCAACATATTGAGATACTCAAGTAAAGTACAAGTCTCTCACAATTGTACTTAAGTACAGTACATCTACTTAGTTACTTGACACAACTGACTACTACAAGCAGTACTAGGCAATTATGAATAATACTAATACGGTTAATGCAATGATAAGCAGCAGTAAGTATCCACCAAAGGACCGGCGGCCCTGCTGTTTGTGGCGATGTGGCAGTCAGAAGTTTGCTAACTCTCATAGCCTTCCTGCTCACTTTTCGCTTTAGGTTAGCAAACTCGCGTCTTCACATTTTAATGCTGTGTCTCTGACTTTCAAAAAAACAAGCAGCAAGCCCTTGAACAAACGTTAAAGAGAGTACTTTAAAAAATAATGTCTTAAACGTCAAAATATTGCTTACATGTTGTTTGTTTAGATGACAGCAGCTCTGCTTCCGGATTCCAGAGTACGGCATCTCGCGAGGGCCAAAATACTCGGGTGTTCGCTTTTCAGGCTTGGAACATTGTAATGTACAGTACTATACACTACATCTGAAGTATAGAAATCTCCTTAAACTTAACTGTACATCAGGCAATAGAAATTCAAAAAGCATTACCTTGGTGAATCACTAAATCAGTGCAGGAAAAATGTAATGTCTTATTTCTTTTGATGAGGTAGTTTGCAATTTCCTGCTTTGTTTATGTCATGTGATAAGAAAGTAATCTAGAGGCGGCATGGCTTTTCAGTATACATAAACCTACATTTTAATAGTTCATCAGATTAAAAAACCCTAATGCATATAGATTACATATATGTATATATTTACAATCATGGCAATGTTTTATGGGTCTCCCTTTTTTAAATAGGCTATACACAAGGAAATAGTCTATAATGTAAGATATAGACAGCACAGCTAAAATTCAGTAATGCCAAAGAAAAAACAACAGCCATAGTTTCTTGTGATTGCAGGAAAAACAAATGGGAAATAATAACCAGGATGAGCCAGCATACAACTCTCCTATTAAACACAAATTAACAATAATTACACCGGAGTGTTTTCTGCTATACGACATGTCAACATACGTTTGTGATAAAAGCCGATTGGTGTTTGTTGGCTAATTAAACCAAGATTGTTGTTTATTTGTGTTGTAGCATTATTGAAGAACAAGAAAAAACTCAGACCTTATACCAGCTTTAATTATGATAATTTGTGTTAATGAAACCATACAAAGCTACATGATGCATGCCAGTTGTTCGGTTTTATTGGGAGGTAGATTTTACAACACTACAATAGTTTTTTATATACATAATTGCCTGAGATATATTGTTGAAATATTCAAGCTTAACTGTTATGTCCACAATAGTGAAAATCCTGTTTGTGACAGTATAATTCTAAGTATTCAAACCAATGAAAAACCTTTTACTTGCTCCAATCCTGCAACTTGCAACGCAAAAGTCTCTATCATAGGCTTTGTATAGCAGGATAAACCCATTGGCCTGTAGGATAAGATGCTTTATTTACTACATTACTGAGGAGAAGCCTGTTACAAGATTTGTTTAGGATTTTGTACTGATGCAATGTGATAAATGCAACGATCAGGGGGAACATCAAGAAGCAGGCTTACTCAATACCCTGAGGGTATACTAAAGCAACACAATCCATGCATGTGTGTGCATTTTTCATGCTTGTGATTTTCTGAGTATGTGTATTTTTGAGTATGTGTGTGTGTGTGTGTGTGTGTGTGTGTGTGTGTGTGTGTGTGTGTGTGTGTGTGTGTGTGTGTGTGTGTGTGTGTGTGTGTGTGTGTGTGTGTCTAACTGCATAGTGCTTTGATCAGATGTTTACATAAGGCACATCTAGAAACACCAAGTGCTTTATCCCTCTCAACTGCTCAAGCTTTATGGCTGAGAGCAAGATGCAAACACTGAAATGCGTAACAATCGCAACGTTTTAATACACCAGATACATTTAATAACATCTGAATGGATGATGCTCTCTGCATAACCCTAACCAAGCTAAAATCTTTTTGTCCAACAGAAAATATTTCTCCACGGTGTCATTAAAGTGTTGTATAAAATCAAGGCCCATCAACAGTGGGGATGTTTTACAAGAAGGGCAGCAATTTCCTCGTGTAAAATCACATTTATTTGCTGCCTGTGCTTGTTTATAAAATAATAAGGTTTTTACACAGAAATGGAATGGAACAGATGACAATGAACTCAGATGTTGTTTTGTAAAATTGCACTTATATGTTCCTAAAACAAATCTTGCCACAATTTAGTGTTGTTGTGTCATACCCTGAGTGGTGCAGTAATGACACCTGGAAATGAGTTTGCATTTTACCACTTACTGTTCCCTGATCTCAAAGTCAACATTCTTTTTGAATATATGTTTGGTTCGATGCCTGAACTAAGATCTGTGGATAACACAACCACAGTTGGCCTACACAAATGCATTATCACTGCACTACTCTTTTAGGAAATGCATTTATGTATGATAAACAGTGCATGGCTGTTTCATGGATGTTTCAACCAACTGAATAGGCTGCTTTAATGTAATACTATGAGTAGAAAACGTTTAGAAATGCTGCCATGCAGAAAATCTCTGCTTTAAATTATGCACCATTGAGACAATAACTTTCTTTTCCTCTCGGGAGAGGCTGGCAGCTACAGGAATGCTTCTAAAGAGACTAAGAGTGGAGCTCATTGATTGATCTTCATCCAATTCCTTTTACAACTATAGGATAATTACAGTACTGTGCCTGTTGGTAACCGGAAAATGTAGTCCCTTTTGTTTCAAGTTTACCAAAAGATCTATTGATCATTTACATATACACACCATAAAATAAACACTTTAATTATGTATGTACTGTATATGTATGAATACATCACACCAAGACAGCTAGTAAGAAAAACGTTTTACTTGATGACATCCTTTCAACATCCATTTTCTTTCTGTTTAAAGAACAAGATAAGTAATACGATGAAGAAGTCACCACATTTATTTTTAAATGTGTTGACTAAATGTTGCATTCATGCATAATTGACAAATTCGGTGTTCAAATAATTTCCCCAAACTGTGGTGTATGTGTGCAGTTCCCGGGTTTAATGAGCTATCACTAAAAAGAAGAGAACACAACCTGATCAGAGCTCATGAATGGTGCAGTAGATATGATCTGGTGAAGGTTAAAGTGCTGAAAGATCTTAAAAATGAAAAAGACATACACCCACTGAGAGGGAGAGGGAGGCGGAGAGGAAGAGAGAGTTACATTTAAAATTATGAGGGTTACATGAGGACAGGAGTGAGAGAAAGGAGAGGGAAATGGGAGACTAAAGGATTCAGGATTCATCTAAATTATGCAGAGGCTATAGCTTCATTCTCAGACAAACCTCCACACCACCTGTATACAGGGTTAGAAGGATTACTTTTAAAGGTCCCATGTCATGCTTTTCCGGTTATTACCCGTCCCCTTATGTGTTATGAAGGTTTTTATGCATGTAAACGGTCTGCAGAGTCAAAAACCCTCAAAGTACACCCTGTAGGGAGTAAAACTCTAACACAGAAAAGACCTCCCCAAAACGCCTCGTTGGAGATTTCCCATTTTCTTCCTGGGTACTCTGACGTGGGGATACCCAGAGGCCACACCCTCTGCCAGCCTTTCACGAAACAAAGCTTCCCAAACCTTTCAGCGATTCATGCCGGATATGTACAGCGTAGGGCACTGAAGAATGATGCTGTTCCTACTTTGTTTGGACCAGCGGGAGATTCGGGTACACAACCTGTAAGTATTCATTGTTGTTTGTGTATTTATGATGTTTAAAACAAACAAGGTATCTACCACGACTGTTTAAATGGGTAAAAAAAATTCGGGCTACTACAGTACGTTGGGATCGCGGAGAAATGCTCTCCGCAGACCCATTCTCACAGCGTTATAAACCTTTTTCTTACTCAATATCAAGCCACACTTATTGTTTTTACTTCGGCTGTGAGTGTTTGTGTGTGCTCAGGTCAGGATGAGTTTCGCTTGTTCTCGCTGTATCGCCGACACGGAAGCCTGTCTGCTCCTCGCAGCAGCTCGCAGCAGCTGCGAGCAGCAACGAGCCTCTCAACGTTGCAACCAATCAGAGCACACTGGGCTCACAGGGAGGGGGGGGCAGGAGCTCCAACAAGCCGTTTAGGACAGAGAGTGGTGAATACACATACTTTACAGAGATGCTGTATGAGAAACCAATGTGAGTTTGGAAAACTGCACAATATAAATCTATTTTAGTATACCTCAACAATGGAATTATGACCAATAGAAATGGCCATGACATGGGACCTTTAAAATGTATTCCATTACAATTACTAGTTAGCTGTAAACAAAATGTAATCAGTAACCTAATCTGAGCCTCAAAATATAAAAATAATGTACCAGAGTTAGCCTGTTTCAGAATCGTAAGTGTTTGTCAGTATATTTGAAATGACTAGGTTAGCTACGCTATAGCCTACAGCAGATCTGCAATAATATTGGAAGGAAACATGCGATTACATTGATAAAATAAGTCAATAAAACTTACATTTTAGGTAAGTTTCCAGTGATTGTTGGCCAACTTTAAAACCCCCGAAAGTCAACATGTCCCAGCTGTGTGCATCACTTTTTAGTGCCCCCATTTCCGTTGTGTTTTTAGCTTTTTGCAGATTTTTGTTTATGCAGTGCAAATGAAGTGATGAGGATGATCATTTCCCGTAATCTGCTGACAGAATCATGATAAACACTTTTCCTGGATATTTGCGTGATTTGAATAGTGACCATATTGTTATGGTCTTTCTTCCTGTTACTGTGTGACTGGTTTCCTAAAGTGTAAAAGGTCATTTAAGGACGTGTGGTAAGCCAGTCAGTAAGGCATAGGCTTTTCTAGTATAATATCGGTTATTGCACATGTTCGTCAAGATGGTGAATGTTATCTAAATGCCGTGCATGTGTTGTCAAGTTGGTGAAGATATTTCTTTATATGCATGTAAATGTTTTGGGCCTTGGTAGCGCTTTTACCCCTGTGGGCCACCATACAAAAGACTGACAAACACACATGCACCATATCATATACACACTTATTGTATCTTAAATCAGAATTTACATTTGCATTCTTATGTCTAATCAGTATTCAGATTTTGTTTGCTACTGTTTGGAAATGATAAAGTAGAGGTTAAGAGAAGTTAAAAATGTTTGGTCTAAGATGAAACATGAATCCGGGGCTCTGCCGTGAAGGTCGAACACACGACACATATCCCCCACCCTGTCCTGGACACCCTTAGTTTTTGCTTCATTACATAGAGGGCACACTGTTTCCTGCATTGGCACTGAATGTTGGCACGGGAGGATAATCATGTGCTGAGGAATCATCGTCCAAGAACAAAGAGTCCTAATAAAAAAACAAGAGCTGTAATTTGAACAGACTTCAAAGAGTTTAGGACAAAACAAAATAAAAATCAATTTCTACT